TGACGAATACTTTTTAATGAATTCGTTCTCAATGGAATTTTTACCTGTGACTCTTGAGTTCACTACAGCTCACCTACGAAGTTCAAGCTCTTCATTATCTTTGAAATCCCTTACTGATTCTTTAGGCCACGAATCGATGCTCAGTAATAGCCACTTAGGTCCATGCCACCACATGTCACTATTTCGTAGTTCAGATAACGTTATTCCTTTCATGGAATTTGTTTTCGTTCCTCTGGTCAGCATATCAGCCGGATTTACATCTCGAGGGCAATAAGTCCAATAAGTTGATGTTTTCTCTCGTATTTCCATTACTCGATGTTGGATGAATGGCTTCCATTTATTTAAATCACCCTTTATCCAATGTAACGTCACAGAAGAGTCTAACCAAAAATATACAACATCTGGAGTCTTTTGTCTAACTGTTCTTTCACATTTGAGGCTAATCTTGCAACGATGAGTGCCCCCATCAGCTCTAATTTTGGAAAGGACAGCTTCTTCAGTGGAGCTACTCTGGTTTTGGAAATGACAAAACTATTTCCTATTTCACTGTGCGTCGTGACGTAAAGCAGGTATATCACAGCTCCATATGCCTTCTGACTTGCGTCGGTAAAGCAATGCACTTGAATATCTCTCAATTCAGACTCCTTAATCTTTCCGAAGTAACGTCGCGGAATGTTTACATTCTGAATCGCTGACGGTTCATTAGTCCATTTTTTCATCATGTTTTCAAAGTCCTAAGGTAACAGATCATCCCTATCTACCCCAAGTTGCCAAATTTCCTGCATTAGTATTTTTGTCCTAATAGTGAATGGACTTATAAATCCAATGGGATCATAAAGCTTTCCAATGGTTTTAAGAACTTCTCTTTTTGTCATTAGCTTTGTTTTCCCTTGAGATTGATTAGTTAGATTTTATGATTCTATCTTCCGAAGGTCTTCCTTGTAATTCCATTTATTTCCCAATACCTTCTGTTCCAGAACTTTCTGGATTTCACCATTTTCGTATTCGTCAAAAACTTCCTGCAGATTTTCACAATTTGTTTTCCACTTTCGTATGTTGAAACCAGCAGCCTTCAATATATATCTAATATCTTCATATATGAGTTCGGTTTCGTTTTCGTCTTCATCTCCACCTATTAAATCATCTACGTATAAACATTCGTTCAATAGTTTGACTGCTTTCTGATTTGTTTCTTTAAAGGCGTTTATGGGATGTTTGATTGTAGCGGCAAGCAAAAATGGGCTGGATGTAGCTCCAAACAAAACGCGAGTCATCCTAAGTATTTTTGTGTTAGGTTTCCCATCCTCATCTGTAAGGTTATTTGCCCACAAAAATCTTACAGCATCCCTATTTTCAGGTGACAGAGAAATTTCTAGAAAGGCTTGTTCAATGTCGGCAGTAAATGCTATGCTATGTGTACGAAATTGTATTAATATCTCTAACAATGGTGGATTTAAATTGGGACCGGAATAGAGACAATCATTTAAAGAATATTTGTTTGAACTTGGATCAATTTTCTCAGGTATACCCGTTTTTATGCTGTTCTATAACTGAGTGATACTGCTGATGAAGCAGTGGATCATTTCTCAACCTTTTAACCGGTTTATTAAAGCGAACTTCTGCATTTACGTAATTCGTTTTTAATTCAGATGAATTTTCATTCCAAGGGAGTTTAACCGCTTTTCTTTAAATTTGATAGTTCTATTGAAATTCTGTAAAATGTCATTATCTATTTTACTAATTTCCTTCCCTTGTTCAATTCCCAAAACTGCTTTAACTGTGTTGAGACTAATTTGTCATCAACAATAATGTCCATGTTTAACAATTCACCATTAGAATCAGTCCGGCCTTGAAGGCACCATCCAAATATTATTTTGGAAACTGTAAGTTTATTTTTTTAAATGTTTAAGTCTACCAGTTATTATTTCATGATAGTAATCTGCTACGATCAAAACAGCAATATTTTTGTCACTGAATTCACAAGAATCAGCTAATTGTAATCCTATTAACTCTTTGTTAATTTTGGAAACTGGGATATCAAGGAAAGGTAAATTAGTTGCACGTATTTGGTCAGTTTCTAAAGCTTCAATTTCTATATTTAGGGATGGTTCACTTCTGTTTTCTAGTTTGACTTTCACAACATTGTAAGTTTGTTTTGTCACCTGGTTAACCCCAAAGGCAAATACGGACAAAGTTTCCTTTCGAATAACAGGTAATTTACACTTCTCTGAAATGTCCTGAATTATAAAACTTCTCATCGATCCATTGTCTAATAGAATACGAACTGATTCTAAATTATCCTTATCAGAAAATGGACATATTATCACAGTGCACGTTTGTAGCAATGCACTGCGAAAGGTTTCGGTTTTTAATTGACTAATCTGAACATCTTCTTCACTGGATAGAATTGTCGACACGACTTTGTTTTTCTCCAATTTGGTTTCGAGTTGGAAACAAATAGAAATGCATCACTGAAAGTCAAATGGATCTAGACCTTGCATGGTTGTATAGCAAAATAGGTATAGCCTCACTGACCATAATAGCCTGTGAATAGTACTACTATTCTCACTTAACTCTCTGGCTAGTGTGCATGTCCTCAACTGGGAAGTTTCTTCCAACTGCTGAAGTATTGCATATTCCTGTGCTGGTATAAGCCTGCCTGTGTGTTCTGCCACTAACATCCTGGAGACTGTGTGTCAAGTGTATGATTCCAATATTTCTCAGTCTGTCATCTAACCTGTGAATGATGTTTGCATCTGGAGAACAGCATGATGGATAGCAGTGAACATATTACCCAGCAGTTCGTACTCTCATTACATTTACTGAAGATAAATTACCTGTCACAATATTCACAAGCAGAATACATTATCACCATGCAAAGATTACCGGGGAGCTACTAAATGCAGCCTTTTAAATACAGTTCAAAACGACAGCTTGATGCCATTCCGTGTTGTGCACGTGGATGCCTCGATGTATGTGGTAGACATATGAACATCTTCCTATGTAAATGTATGCAGATACTGATGTTCTTCTTTCCAATAAAGTTATTCTTTGCCCCTGATATGATGTCATACTTTTCTTTCCTATCTATATCTAAAAAACTATGGATCATACAGGTACAGTTCTCTGGACATTTTATTATGTACGAGGCGTATTCGGAAACTAAGTACTGTTTTGGAAAAAAAAATAGTAAAACAATTTTTTTGAATCTAATTTTATTTTTACATGAAAATACATGTCTTATACTATTTTTCAACATAGTTTCCGCCAATGATCAAACACTTGTCATAGCGGGTGACCAGTTTGTTTATACCATCGTCAAAGAAACTTCCCGCCAGTTTCGATAACCATGACTCCACAGCATTTTTCGTGTCATCGTCAGATCCAAAGCGCTTGCCACCAAGCTCGCACTTCATGTGCAGGAACAAGTGATAGTCGGACGGCGCCAAGTCCGGGCTGTACGGCGGGTGGTCGAACTGCTCTCAATTAAACTGTTGAATGAATGATTGAGTGACACCAGCAGCATGGGGCCGAGCATTGTCATGGAGCAACACAATTTCTTTACTGAGCATTCTTCTTCGTTTGTTTTGAATGGCACACTTTAGTTTTGTTAAAGTCTCACATATCGTGCCGCATTAATGGTTTCACCTCTGTGAAGAAATTCAGTAAGCAAAATGCCTTTCCTATCCCAGTAGACAGTGCACATGATTTTTTGTGATGACATTGTCACTTAGAACTTTTGTTTTTTCGGAGAATGAGTGTGTCTCCACTCCATCGATTGTTGTTTAGATTCTGGTGTGAAATGACACACCCAAGTTTCATCACCTGTCACAAGTTTAAAAAGTTTTCTCCCTCATCACTGTACTACGTGAGAAATGTCAGGGCACTACCAAGTTGCTTTGTTTTGTGAACATCAGTGAGCATTTTTGGAACCCATTGGGAACACAGTTTGCGATAATTCAAATTTCGAACAAAACAGTACGTGAAATTTGTGGAAATGCCTCTGAAAGAGTTGTCATTGTGAAGCGTCTGTTCTCATGAATTGCTTCATCAACTTTCCTTACCAAATCATCGGTGACAACAGAAGGCCGACCACTCCGAGCCTCGGCGTGGACATTTGTTCGTCCTGCATTAAACATTTCTTACCCACTTTCTCACCATTCCATCACTTATCGCGTATTCACCGTAAACTTGTGTCACTTGACGATAAGTTTCGGTCGGTTTAACATTCCTTGCGTTCAAAAATTTAATCACGGCACGAATCTCACAGTCAGCAGAACTAATTGTCTTAAACATTTTGAATGTGCACAGCAAACTGAAAACACAACATAGAGCAACCAAAATGGCGACAATTGAAAGTCAGTGAACAAGAAAGACTAGTGCGCATGCGCGGGACGCCTACCACAGCGCTGCGACGCCGCTAGAATGAAACGGTACTTAGTTTCCGAATACGCTACGTATTCCAAGTGAGGAATCTGGCTGTGCAGAGTTTAGGTGGACTTGATGGGACACTCTGTATAGTTAAAAGTGCCAAGCTTTATAATTAGCCTTGTAAATGACCTGATTTCAAAAATACTGAATAGTATTATGCAGCCCATTCTTGATTTAAGCAGATGAATAACTTTAACATTAAAAAATTTCTGTAAAAACTGATTTATCTTGTATTATAATTTAAAATGTTTCAATGCTTGTATTTCAAGTTTGTGTTAAGTTAGGTGGGAATTTCATTTTTAGTAAATATTTGTTGGAAAAGAGATTTTTTTTTTTTTTTTTTTGGTCAGTTTTATGTCTTCTTAATTGCTGATGTGTTCATGGCTTTTGTTTCTGCTACTATTTTTTGATAATTTTTATTAAATTTTGATAAATATTTAATTGAAATTGTTGCATTGTTGGTTTAAATCTACTTCAGGAATCCCCATTGCATATATGATATTAAATCTTAAATCCGGAATATTTTTTACATATCTTATTGACTGATTTTTTTTTTTTTTTTCTTCCAGTAATGATCAGGATTTTCTCTGTGCAAATCATGAGCAGTTGGTGCACCATATTACTGAATTGGGTTTTAGCAGAAATGATGTTGAAGCTGCCTTGCGTGCCAGTTATAATAATCCTGACAGAGCAGTTGAATATTTAATCAGTGTAAGTATCAGGACTTAGAAGAGAAGGGCTAGCTCATAGAGCTTTTCCCCCTGAAGCAGAAAGTGAGAAGTGATGATGTAGCCATGATGACACTGAGCGCGCCAATATAATTCACAGCTTGGAAATTAGCGTTTTTGAACCAGTGTTTAAAATGAACTGTGTGTGAAAGATAGCTATAATTTGGAAGAGGCAATGTTACTGCTTTATGCATTTTAGACTGAACCATTAAGAATTTAATAATGCTTACTCAATTTTAAAATAATAGATAAAATGTGCTACTCTTTTAACATAAAGTTCCGTGTTTATTTTAATTTTTATTTGCGGGTTTTTTTATTTCATGCACGTTTATTTCTAATCATTTCTTTATTTGCATGCTAACTGAGAGAATTTTTATACTGCTTCTAAGATAACTATAATAGCAGCTATTTAAATTTACTCAAAAAACAACTTTACATTGACATAGGTTTAAACATATATGACATATATGGCAACATTTCTGCTAACCTACGTTTGATTTTTTTGCCTAATTGTAAATTTTACATTGTTATAATTCTCTTCCGATTCAGTATAATAGATATTTTTTAAATAATTTTGTAATTTATACTTATATCTATATTACAATTAAATAAATGTATATAAGATTGTTACCTTAATTTTGACGAAATAGCTTTATTCAGAGTACCTAAAACAGTTATTTAATTTTTCAAAAGTGTGAGTAAAGGAAGCAGGTCTTTTTATGCCAATTACTTTGATGTTTTATACTATTATATTTTATCTAGAATGCTAATCTAGCACAAAATCTAATCAATAATTAGTTACAAAGGATACAATAAGAATAACTTTAACAAGTACTTAACAAAATTAGTTTGTTAAATACTTGTTATTATTGTTGGTATTATTTTGGTACTATTCATAATACCAAAGATATTATCGATTAACTCACAGAAGTCGGATGCTTTTTGATTTCCTGTGGGGTAAAGTATACCTTTTGCGGTACTTTTTGAAAATAATGCTTTCTCTGGAGCGACCTTTTTGTCTCTCGCTTCCCTTGACCATTAAATAATTTGGTTTTAGTTTGTGACACAATTTGATTTCTTCTCAATCTCTATTTAAAATCTCTTTAATAATATCAAAATTTAAAACAGTTACATCTTCTAAAACAAATTCTCTATCTAAAACGCGGTTTCTCAGTAATTTGAGGCAGAGCGCGGAATGAGACATCTGATTAAAACAAACTGCACATTTTGAAAAGAACCAACTTAGTCCAGTTTAGAGTCATAGCAGAGTTTACAATCTATATGCATTTCGTCGAAACTGAGAACACATATTTTTTTCTACAGAAACAAATATTCACCTCTTTCCTTCTTTAGAGTAAGAACATTACTTTGAATTCTTGGACTACACTAAAATTTAGAAAAAAAAAAAAAAAAAAAAAAATGAAATAAACACCATTTCTTTAATTTGATAATACTAGGTAAAGATATTCCAATTTTTTTCTTAATTTTTTTTCTTTCCAAAAATCATAGCTTTAAGATGACAGAGCTCTTATGAGGATGCAACGTGAAATATTTTCACTAGTCCACCTGATTTTTTTCTTCTTATTCAGTAATGCATTAATCTGCGTCTTTATAAAAATAGGATTTAGACATTTTTCCAAATCCTCAGATTTGTGCTCCCCCCCCCCAAATTTCGCTATTTGAGATTTTAATTTCTGATACCAATTTCTGTCTAGATGTCGTCCACCTTCTTTGTCGCTGAACAAACATTCTAAAATTTTTCTTTTCTCTATTTTTCAATACTTTAATACAATTTTCTAAGGATATTATTTTTTTCTTCAAATTATCAATGCATTCTTGTTTATTCTTAAACATTCAGGATGATCTACATTTTCATTTGTGAGTTTTATTTCAAAATCATTAAAATTTGATTTATTATTGTCATCATCAATTTCGATTTATTATTGTCATCATAATTTACTTTCGGCACAGCATTCCATTTCAACAGTTTCTTTTTGTGGCTATCCAAACAACTATTTTTCATATCTTCATAAACACTGCATAGAAAATGTTCGCTGCAGATTTTTCCGCTCTTCACATTAATAGAATCTTCTCTTTGACATTTGTGTATCCATTCTTTCATCAAAAGCAAACTCTCATTTGGACCCTTTGGTCCCATGAAATAAAATATCTCATCTTTTCGTACTTCTGTAAGTGCTACAGGGCGTTACTGCAGCGCAAAAAGCCATATTACTTTAACGATACTTTACAATATAGAATTTAAAATAAAAACTGACTAAAATACATATATATAAATTATTTTAAATATATACATTATTAGAAAACAGATATATATATTATTAAAATTAATTTGGGATATGAAACCTCTAGAAAATCGTCTCGCAGCTCAATGAAACTACTGTTTTAAACGCGGGAAATCAGGACAGGTGGCATCAAAGTGATGTCAGATTATTGCCTCTTACGTCCCCCCATTAGGCTCGCGTCGGTGAGGAGTCGAACAAAGAAATGAGCTAGCCCTTCTATTTATCCCTGGTAAGTATGTGAAAATCTATCTGTTATGAAATGTATGTTAAGATTTGACTGTGCTTAGGGCTCTGAGTATTTAGAGAAGTTATGTTGTTCTGACCATTAGAAGAGAAATATTGAAACATATGTTTAAACCTAACAAAATACAAACCCAGGTGGACCAACTCTCCTGATTTAGGTGGAAAGCTCACAATTTTTTATTCACTCCCAATTTGATGTATGTATTTCTTTTTTAGTTATTTTGGTCTTATTCCTTAACATCTCTTACAATATTTATTTAATTCATTTCAATATTTAATTTTTCACATCCAGACGTTATTTTTGGTGTATGAAATCAATTGATTTTTTGCTAGGTGATCTGTTCTTAGTTTCTGTAAATATTATAATTACTCATATTTTCCCCTCTTTTCATACTAATTTTAGTGCGTGAAAACAGGGAGGGGGAAATATGTAGTATTTACTATTTCTGAAGAGCAACTTTACTAATAAATGCAGCACATATCATGATGCACTAATGTTATTATACAATGCATTGCAAAAAAATAGTTTTAATGATATTATTTTTATTTACACAAAATACTTTCCTCTTTATGCATATACTTTATATTGTTGCTGTAAATCAGAAATTTCTAAACCATACATTGAAAAAACTAGAGGGAAACCACTTGAGGGAGAGAAATATGCATGTTGTGTATGGTATTTAAATCCTCTTAAATGCATTATTTTTGTGCATTTATTTAGTTATTTGTTTCTTTTAGGATAATAGTTTTAGAGTTGAATTTTGAAAATTTGCTATAGTGCTTGTGCACTGAGGAGAAATTGTTTAATATCTGCATTCTCATTGAGTTATTTTCAGCTATTATTTTGCTGTGTGTGATTAATATTTATAATAAATTGTTAGTTTCTTCCTGCTAAACCAAAGTGATTTAGAAAGCAGTCACGAACTCATAGATCACAACTCTTTTGAATAAAACATTAGTCATTTCATCATCAATGAACTGCAACTGTGCTTATCAGAGTTGATTTGTCTGAAAATATCGTGTTTCAATATTTTAATGAGCATCAAGTGCAAGCACAGCTGCAGGTCATCTGCACCATACCAGTTAAAAAGCATAAAGAATTTTCGAGATTACTCTTAGCTTTTCAGCTGTTAAACTGTATGAGTTTCATGTGCTTTGAGAAGTTGTTCAGAAGTCTAATTTTTTGTTTTATATCTGTGAAAAAAGTAAAAAACTGATATACATTTTAGAAATTGTATACAGATGACTTTATAGTATTTCAGCTAGAAAATGTAATGCATATGAAGCATGCACTGTTTATCAGTGTGTTTTATTTTATATAGTGAAAAGGCTAGCATTTTTAAACATGTACATACATAGGGCTATTATTAGGTTATTTGAATGTGGCAAAACAGACAAGGCTATCTACCTAAGGAGAAGAGTGCCTTTGTGGAGAAAACTTTCTAAGAGAAACTGGCTTATTCATGTTCCACATTGGAAAATCATGAAAACCAACCATGCAGCCAGCTTGTTTGCCTCTGTTCGGACCTGAGTTGAACTACTAGTATTTGCCGATCTTTACCACTTGACTACGATATAATTATAGGATCAGTGGGATATTATAGCCAAACTGTATTGTGAGCACAGATTTTGAGAGATTTGACATTGAATTTTTTTTTTTTTTTTTGTTATCTCTGCTATTATGTAGGCAAAATCATGTGCTTGGAAGTTAACATTGAAAATGTAGAATTACTAGAGGACTGTTAAAATGAGCTCACCAAGGAAACTGGAACAACTTTAGGAACAATAAACAAAAGTAGATTATAAGTGTCTTCAAAGGAAAGAAAATACATGAGCCTAGTTCTTTCATCTGCAAAGTTTGTGTTAAATGGAGTAAGGTGGGAAGCTTCATGTAATGATCTTCATCATCACCCTGATAAAGCAGTGGGGAGCTATAGCATAAGCATTTCAGTGACAAAGCCTTGCCTTTCATTAGAATTTAAAATGCAGATAAGAACAAATCACATTAGATACAATATTTAGATAAAATTTTAGTGAAACAGAGGCTTTAGAGAGTCTCAGCTGATTAGAGTGGTGCTAAAATTTGGTTAGTTTTATTGGAATGTGGCAGAGCACATGAGGGCTATCTTCCTAAGAGGAGTATGCTTTCCTAGAGGAATTTGTAAGGAAGCTAGCTCATAATAATTTATATATGGATTAAATCACAAAAACAGTTTTAACGCGTGTTTCTGAATTTCCTGTACACATCGTGGAGAGGGAAATTGTGGCCGGTCCGTCGTCAAATCCCTTGGCAAATTTTCCCTCCGCTTTTTACATAGACTTTCTTTGGTGAGAATAATCTCCATGTATGGTACAGTGGGATTTGGCGACATGATGATGAGCAGTAAAGGGGTCATTTTGTTCTTGGCGACAATTTTCAAAATCATGCGAAGGCCGTATCGTCTACTAGGATTTTACCGCAAAATCTTTT